GTGGGGAGGGTGGGGCGACCTCTTGGCCCCCCCCCAGCCCTCTGCTGCTGCCTCCATGTCTTGAATGGCTCTTGACGTGGGGAGGGTGGGGCGACCTCTTGGCCCCCCCCCCAGCCCTCTGCTGCTGCCTCCATGTCTTGAATGGCTCTTGATGTGGGAAGGGTGGGGCGACCTCTTGGCCCCCCCGAGCCCTCTGCTGCTGCAAGACAAGGTCACTGCAACCCTCACCTCCAGGCACAGCTGCCATTTAGCTTGAGATTTCATCTGAGTGAAAGGGAGGGTCAGGCATGGATCAGAGGACCTTCTGAGGGTGACAAGGACTACCACAGTGTCCCTGGGGCTGAGACACAGACTGCAGATTTCCCAGGAGCGCCTAGAGCAGGCAGGCAAAAAATGGGAGATATATAGCCAGTGCTATAGCCCACAGGTCTATAGGCCATGTGTTCTGCATGGGGAGATGCTAGCCCCCAAGCTGCCTCCCTGCTGTGGGCCCTGCAGCGCTGACAAGCGCCTAGCACAGCCCTCCTGGTACAGCTGTGTGTGGGAGCTGAAGCTCAGAAGAGCACTTCCACCTAGGTGGGGCTTTGCCCTCGGGAAGATGCAATGGAAACCATGTGCCCAAGCCCGTCACTATATCGCTTTGGAGCACTGAGCTTGGCTCTGGGACCAGCAGTGACCCTGTGCAGACTAGACTGGCTTTCTTGCCATCAGTCACCCTTGTGTGAGCGGAGCCCCTGGGTTCTGTCCACCTTTTGCTACCCCAGCTATTGGGAGCCCCTTCTAAAGGGAACAGCAGTGCTTGGAATAAGGGTCCCCATGCACCAGTGACCCTGGCAGGAACAGAGTGGAGACAGCTGTCTCTGCAGGAGGCACAGGATAAAACCTCCACACTAGAAGAGACAAGAGCCTGGAGAGGCACCAGAGTGAAACCGCTGCAGCCCTTGCTCACCACAAGAACAGCCGTGCAGTCTGTAGAAGGCGAGCAGGATGGCTGGGCTCATGCAGTTCAGGTGCACATGGGTGCAGGGGGTGCCAGTGGGATGCCTCACCGAGCCCCTGAGCCTGCCTCGCTGTCTGCTTGCTCTTCACTAGGTACTACGTTAGGTACGTGTGGAGGTTGCAGTAAGGATGTACAGCTCACACACCTGGCATGGCCCATGCTGGCCCTGTGACCTGTGCCAGGGGGCCATCCATTCAAGCCACTGTGGCTGTCACTGGAGCTGGAAAGCATCAGGTGACAAGGCCTGCCAAGATTCAGAGGCAGGTAGAGAGGTTGTGTGATTCCCTGCACACAGGTGGTTCTTCCGTGATGCCCACAGACACATGCCCTTGAGTGACTCAGGAGAAGCACATGTAGGTGACACGATCCTTGCTGGTGCCCCACGCTACATGGGCCTCAGGCTAGGTGCTCCATCGCTTCCCCAGCAGAGCCTCCAACAGCCTCACCCACATGGGGGCCCACCCCTGAGGGACCATAGGAGGAGCAGGGCAGAGGAGGGGAGGAAGAGGAGGAGGAGAAAGTGGTAGGGAGAGGAGAAGGTGGAGTAGGAAGAGGAGAGAGAAGTAAGAGAAAGAGGAAGAAGAGGTGGTGGATGAAGAGGGTTTTGGGTGAAGGAGGCTTTTCACATCAGGGGTCCCCAGCAGTGTACCCCTAGAGACCAGACAGAGAAGAGAACACATCTGCAGTGAAGATGAGATAGCCAAGCCCATCAGTCCCTTTCAGACCATGCAGCCCCTACGTGGGGCCCACACTGCCCATATCCAGCTGTGTCCCTGGGCCACACCGATGGCTTCCAGACCCAGACTTGATTCCCCTCCAGATACGCAGGAGCACAGATGGACTCCTAGTCTCCCAGCCTCAGTTTCCCTAGCCATGGAACCATGGGATTCCTGTGGCATACAGGTGGGGTCTTGTGTTTGCAAGTGGCAATGGATGCCCTGACCTCCCCTCCCCTGTCTCTTGGCAGCCCTGTGGTGGACTCAGATTTGTTCAGAACACGGGTAAACCCAGCTCAGAACTCCAACGCCTGAGGGCTGTCTGCAGCACAGAGCAGCTGATAAACAGGACTCTGCAGGCTTCCTGCTGATGAGGAGCTGGGCATCCTACTGAGGAGGCTGACTGTGTCACAAAACCTGAGGAGTCCTTCTGCAGACTTGAAGGACAGCTCTCACAGACTGGGCCTCGGGAAGTGGTGTGTGGCACAGCACTGGTGTCTGCACCCATGGGCCGCCCCAATCAGTGGATCAGTGGGCTCTCAGGGCAGCATGCTCGGCCAGAACTGTCTTAGCTTCCCATTTCCTGCCTGTGTTTTTAGGAACCAAGTCCCTGCTTATTTTACAGAGTATTTTTCTGACCTAAAGGTCTCCAAATAGCTTGAAGCCTGTATCTTTAATTTGATGGGGAGGACAAAGACACACAGTCCTTGTCCAGTAAATGAACAAGAACCCTACAAGAGTGGTGAAGGCCGTGGGCTCCTCCCAGGCCACAAGCTGTCAGTAGAGTCCGATGGCCACAGGCATTTGTCACCAGTGCCCACACTTGCTCTTCTACTCAGGGCAGATTCCTGGCTGAGCGGAGACACTGCTGGCACCAAGGAGTGCAGTGGGCATGGTAAGGTTTACAGAGGCCTGCTCATGGCTCTGAACTAACGTGCTGCGAGTTTCTAGAGAATCTACCCTGTGCCTAGGACTGAGCAGGCAGCCTCACACAGTGTGCAGCATGAAGGGGCTGAGGTACACATGCCCGGTGGAGACAGTGGGCTGGGTGGTGTGCTGGGGAGCCCCAAGCCGTGAACTGAGTCCACAGAAGGGTGGAGCTGCTCCGAGTCTGGACCAAAGGAGCAGCTGCTTGTGGGCGGACTCCAAGGAGTGGAGCCACATAGATCACTGCAGGGCAGGGAGGGTGGCCCTGGAAGCCTGGCCTTCACTCAGCAGGTCTCTCAGGGAGGTCACAGCAGGGCTGAGGTGTGGGCCAGCTCACGGGTCCCAGCTTGAGTAGAACTTAGGGCACTGGGCCCCTTCCTGAGCAGGCCAGCCTTCCCTGGGCGAGGCACCTGGATGTGCCCTGCCCCAGCCCTCCTGTGCAGATGTGGGGGAGGTGGACGCTGCACCCAGCACTGGGCGTTCCCCTGCAGCTGAGTAGAGGTACCGCAGTGTGCTGACAACCTAGGTGATTCCAGCAGGGTCACACTGCAGTTACTTTCCCGAGGGTGGCTGGCAGCACTAGCGGGTGTCATTTCCATCACCTCTGTCTCCCTTCATGTATCCATCCCTAATTCCTTCCCTCCTTGCTCCCAGCCCAGTGCCATGGACCCACATGGCACATGGCCTAGAAGGGGCACCATCTTCACCTGCTGTCTTCTCCCAGTGCCCTCGGCTGCCATCACAGGCAAAGTTACATGCTAGATCTCTTTTGTCTAGGCTGGGGACACCATGCATCTGTAGGCTCATGGTTCCCCGAAGGCTTTGTTTGTCCTTCCCAGGCCCCAACTACTCCTTCCTCCACAAAGAAGGATGGTGTAATGTCCCCAAGGGATGCCAAGAGCCCAGGCGGCACATGCCCTTACCTTATAGCACCTGAGGGGTTGGGATGTTCAAAATTGGTGGCAAATTGTATTTTAAGGCCAGTGAATATTTAGCATCAACATGGTTCTCATTCTGTTCTGAAATATGCCTCAGGATAGGAATGTGGTTCAGTAATGGAGCCAAGTGTGAGGCCCTATATTGAATGCCCAGCACCACAAAACAAAACTTGTCTTTAAGATACTCCTCTTCTTTGAGTTTGACCTTAGGGAGCTGGGCCCCATTTCTGGTTTTGCTCCTAACAAGGTCCCTCCTAAAGTTGGGGTGCAATGCAGTCCTTGGACCCCTGTGCCCCAGAGTCCAGTCCTGAAGGAGCCAGAAGCCCACAGGCCCAAGGGTTTTATCTTGTCCACCAAGCAGCCAGTCCAGGCACCAGACCCTAGAGACCCCCCTCCTGGAATTCATCTCTTGCTTCTTGTGGGGCTGAGACCCCACCAAACAGGCATCCCCTGATGTCTACAAGTTTATCCTCACAACCTCGGGGTGTTCCTGAGGGGGTTTGCCCTTAGGGCTGTGGCTAAACCCCCAGCCAGGGCTGCTCCACTGAGTCAGCCTAAAAGAAAAGCAAAAGTCACGGTCCAGATATGGCCAGGAGATGTGTGCCAGGCGTCCTTGATGGAGGCAGCAAAGGCCCCCGGCCCTCCCAGATCTGCAGGCGTGTGGTCTGGGCCAGGTCACAGGGAGGAGGGTACAGCCTGGGGCTCTGGCCTCACACACATTCTGCTCTAAGAGATTCTCCTGCTCAGAGCATTGGATTCTAGACCACATGACGCAAGCAGAACGCCGTGAAGTGCAAAGATGGTGCCCCAGATCCACCCCTGGGCCTTGGAGCCACAGCACATGGCCCACACCACAGAGCCCTTTCTGTTGGGGCTTCTACACACACACGGGGGAGGACTGTGGCTCTACTGGCAGAGGCCCAACCCTGTGTGCCCTGCGCCGGCCCTGCAGCTCACGCCTCGGGCGCGAGGTGACCTGGCCCTCATCCTGTCCCTGCTCCAGGTACCTGGCCCTCTACGCCTACAAGCCTCAGAAGAACGATGAGCTGGAGCTGCGCAAGGGCGAGATGTACCGAGTGCTGGAGAAGTGCCAGGACGGCTGGTTCAAGGGCGCCTCGCTGCGCACGGGGCTCTCTGGGGTGTTCCCCGGGAACTACGTGACTCCTGTCTCCAGGTGAAGGCTGCTGCCTGTCCCCCGGTGCTTTGGAAACTGCAGGAGGCCCTGCCGGGCTGGGCTGGGCCAACAAACCCTCCCTGCAGGTAGCCCCCCTTGAGCGAGGTCTGCCTGGCCCCCAGCAGGGCACTGACCAACAAGGAGCCAGCCTTGGTGGGACAGGAGGTCATCAAAGAGCCCAGCTACAAGTGTGAATGTGTGCTTGTGTGTTCACTCTGCACAGCACATGAAGGGCAAGCAATGCATTGTGCAGCCCATGTGCTCGTGTGTGTGCATGTACACACGCAGGTGAGTGTGGCATGTGTGTGCTACGCTCCTTGGGCACATACGTACATTTGCAGTGGGTGTGCCGCCTTAGCGTGGATGTCAGCATGGGCACAGTGTTCGTGTCTGTACATAGCATGTACGCTGGTGCATGCACCTTCACATGTGATCCTGCTGTATGTAAAAGCACACCTGTAAAAAGACAGGATAGAGCTCTGAGCAGAAGCATTGTCAGCAACTTAAGTTTTTTCTTTTGTTCCTTTCTGTGTTATACAGTGTTTATAAGTCAGAAAGGGTAATTTTACAAGTTTGCTGAAGTGCCAGATTTCCTGCCAAGTAGAGGGTCAGTCTTGCCCATGGCAGCCCTGGGGCTCAGCCTGTGTCCCCTCTTAGGGCATGCTGGGGACCTGAGGATCCAGCCCGGGGCTCATTTGTCCTGGGAGGAGGACTATGCAGGTATGCAGTGATGCTGGGCTTTATAGGACTGCAGATGTGTTCTTGCTATCATGGTGGTTTCGGAAAGTGCAGAGGTGGATTAGGTTAGGACCCCAGAGTAGATTGCATGATTCGTTGTTGGTGCCTCCTGCAGGGTGCTGGGTTTGCAGGAGCAAGGGAGGCTTTGTGGGAGAGGTTCTGCTCAGAGGCTCTCTCCGCCTCACCGAGAAGTCCAAGACACCCCTCTGTCTCCCTTGGTCTGTGAGCTGTCTAGGCCACTGTGGGGGAAGCCTGCCCTGGCCCCCACCCATTCCGTGGTTCCCCAGCAGGCTATTGTTGAGAGCAGGTCATGGTTCCTCTCCATGCAGCATTGCCCCTGGATTCCGTACCTGCTGTATACATGTACCAGGTACACAGTGAATGCAAGTTGAATCAATAAAGGAAATCTGTGAGTTTGGCTTGAGCCATCCCAAGGATTTCCTCCTGTGCCCCCAGGGCCTGCCTTGTAGGCTGGAGGGTATGCTGGCCAACCCCAAGCTGCAGAGGCACACTACTGGTCCCAGGTCCTAGGCTGACTCTTCTCCCACAACTGTGGGCAAAACCACCCTGGACACTCTTGGCCCCTCCTAGGTGGATCCCAGTCCCATGGTAACAGTGGAGGGTGGGGCGGTCAGAGCCTGGCTGCTCCTGTGCCCCTCCAGTGTCTATGAGAGAGATGTCCTGGAGGGACCAGGGCAAGAGGCTCCAGCTCAGCAGAAGACAGGCATCTCAGTAACCAGTGCTTCCAGCCCCTGGACTCTGCCCTGCCCCTGTCCCAGGGGCCAGCTGTGGGCAGATGTGGATGCACACAGGAGTTAGAAAGGCCCCACGTGACTGTGGCCCTCCGTTGCCGGTGGCCTCCCCTGGGAGCCTTGGGGTAAGAAGCACTTCTTTCTGGTGTCCAACAGCAAGCTCCTTGGCACCCTCAGTTAGCAGCCGTGCTGTCTGTTACCCACCCCCACCCCATGGGACGTGACGGGCCATCCATTGCATTGGCTGTTGTGGAGGCTGTGCTCTGGTACTAGATACTGAGTGGGGTTGCCTGGCCCCTTGGGACTCCCTGGCTGCTTCCTGAAGGTGCAGCCCCGGTTTGTAAAGCATGCACTCCACTCACCTGGAGTACTGTTAGGCATTGGTTAGAATTTTCTGGGCCTTTTCCCTCATCTTTCGGGGCCCAGAAGGGACAGTGACCCTCATTCATCTGGGTGTCCCCTGACAAGACTCTGTTTGCTTCCTCAGGGCTCCTGGAGGAGCGGCTGGGCCACCCCGGAGTAGTGTGCTCAGCGGGTCTCCTCTGGCCAAGGGCATGGCCACTACTATGCACCCTGGAGGCGGAAGCCTGAGCAGGCCGGCCCTGCCCCTCACCACACCACAGGCCCAAGCCCCACTTCCGGCTGGTTCCCCTACGGCAGGCAGCTGTCCCCGCCATACAACCCAACCAACCACTGGCCAAACACGGGGAGCTCACTCTGCAGGTATGGATGTGGATGTTGGGACCTGGGGCTGGGACGCTAATGTAAGGTGTATTTTTTTTTTTTTTCCTGGCTGGCTCAGGATGCCTTTATGGATTGAGGATTTGGGGATTGAACTACAGCTTCCTGAGCCTGACTGCTTTGCTTATGCAGGCACTTGAACAACTGAGCTAATGGGCAGGCCCTTGGGACACTAATGTGAGGGACACACATCATAGGATGCCCCTCCCAGGGGAGGCCACTGCACCTGTGTCCAGGTGCTGAGCAAGCCACCATGGGACAGGTTGATTCTGACATCATAATCTTAATCTGCTGATCTCTGGAAAGCTCACATTGTGTGTCTATCCTGGCAGCAGAAATCAGCTAGGGAATTCATAAGTTTTACTGGTACGGCACAAGGGAACCTTAAGAGCTAGTAAGGATAGCGTGGCACCTAGTAAGGATAGCGTGGCATGTTCAGAGAAGGCAACAGGGCTGCATGGAGGTCCCCACTTAGGGACTTTCAGGACCCTACAAGGCAGCATCTAAGAAGACTGGGTCACCACAGGTAAAGGTCCCTTCAGGAGCGCGTGTACCTGGAAGGAAGATGCTCACTTACAGCAACATTATCAATCCCTCAGCTGTGCAGACTTGATTTTTTTTTTTTTTTTTTGTGGAACTGGGGATTGAACTCAGGCCCTCGCATTTGCCAGGGAAGCACTTATTCTACTGAGCCATCTCCCCAGCCCCATAAGTTCACAAGGATATATATATATCCTTGGGCCAAGCTAATAAGGGTCAGCAGGACAGGACACTAAGCAGCTTAGGATCAGTGGCTCTGACTGAGGCAGGTAGTGCAGAGGTGCGCAGTGCAGAGGTGGGCATGGAGCCTGGGCACCACATCAGAGTCCAGTACTGGGATGGGTTAACTGGAGAGGGGCAATGGCATGCATCCTGGCAAACACTGGAGGAGTCTGCTGGTGGGAAGGTAACAGCTGAGCTCAGACACAGGGCTGGCGAGGCACCATGGGTGCTGGTCAGTGGGCTCCGGTGATGGGGGCAACCTCACTGCGCCAGCTTCACCTCACGCATCAGGACCCAGGCCTCCCATGGTAGCAGGCAACCCTGCTGCTAGCTGCCCTGTAGGTGAGGAAGGAGGTTACTTTCTGTGTGAGCAAGTTGTGAAAACAGCCTTTTCAGGGGCAGCAAAATGGAGGCAAGTTCCTGGTGTCTGACACTCACCTTTGATCAGGGTAGACCTCAGGTGGTGCTCAGCTGCCACTGAGGATGCCTCCAGGCATCTGCTCAAACACCCCAACACCAGCCCTACCAACCAGATCCCATGGGTGGGCACTAATCTCGTGCATATGTCTTTTCTTTTTAAATCAGCCATGTGCACCACCTGTGCTTTCATGCTCTCTGCAGCAATGTCGTCCAATCCCAGACCCTGGACCCCAACCCCAACACATTGCTTTGCATTGATCTCTGGGTTCCTGTGTTCCTTTCAAGCCTGTGTGCTAGGCTTGTGACCCATGGCCCCCAGTTTAGCTCCTGTACTCGTCAGAAGCCTACCAGGGCACATACCACACAGGGCCCAGGACAAGGTCCTCCTGGACGTGAGCCTGCCTTTCTACCAGGTGCACTGCATCTGTTCAGGCCCTGGGCCCTGGCAAGGCGGCAGTGCAGCTCCTCACAGGGGTGCACAGCCGGGCAGCATCCCTTCCAGCTTTGTGGCCTCATCATGCCAAGCCAGCTAGAAAATCTCTCAGTTGAGAAAGAACACTGAGCCCTCCCAGACATTTCTCCCTCTATGCATGAGCAAGCAGGAGCCAAAGGAATTGGCAGGGCTGGGGCAGCACCACATTGTGTGGTGTCCCTGGCCTGTTGCCATGGTAACCATAGTGGCATAGCTAGTATTCCCTTCCATTGGTTAATTTTACACTGCAAGAGTGAGGTGCAGGATGGTTAAATAGTCCCCTCCTGCATCCAGCCACATTGCTGTCACAGCCAGGTTACAGAATGGCTCCAACTGAGACACGTCAGTAAATTAAAATGCCCTGAGTTCCCACAGCATTTCCCACTTCATTCTACATTTAGGGAGTGGAAAAACATTGTTGACAGAACAAGTAATGGATTGTTCCCTGCAGTAATGGACCATTTCAGTGGACCCCAGCCCCACAGCTGGGAGGCGTTCCAACAGTGATCTCGCCTCATGCCCAAAGCAGGCACTTTGACAAAGGCTTAATTGCATCACCCACAGCATCCGCTATGATTTGTTCTGCTTGACTAACGCCACTCCTTCTCCAAGGGCAGCATACCCTGTGCTCCATAATGACTCCCATCAGCCCTCAGCAGAGACAAGAGCCTCACACGGCCATTTATTTATCAACAAAAAAAGCTGAATATGAGCAAGGAACTCTGGGAAGACCTGAAAGTACAGAGGAACAGATAGAGTGCATTTCTGCCCTAGTTAGAGGAAAGGACAGCACACAACCTCCTGCTGCCATGTGCAAAGCACTGGGATAGAGCCATTGCCAGGTTTAAGCAAATAGGAGAGGGATCCAGTCAGATCCCAGAAGGCACTGGGTGAGGTGGGAACGTGTGTGGGAGCATTCAGGAAGAGACGACGATGCCCAGAATCCTAGAGGAAACGGGACCGTCCAGGCCAAGTGAGGGCAGAGGAACCAGCAGGGTCACTGATTCCATGCTGGCAGTCTTTCTGGGTTTGATGGGATTGAAATAGATGTGCAAGGAGCTGTCCAGGGAGGAAGTAACAGTCCTGCAGGCGATAAGTGGGGCACAAGTCGCTCTGGGCAGGACCACGGCAAGTCCAACCCTCACAACACAGAGGCTAGTGCACTTGGAGATGGGGTGAGGCCTAGGAGACCTGGGAGGGCAGATCGCAGATCCCTGAGGCCCTGCTAGACCGTGCCAAGGACCGTGGCCTGTGGCCAAGCTGAAATGATGTGACAGTGTTTACCCTCCCACCTTGAAGAGCCGAACAACAGGCAGTGTATAGACAACTGGCATCAGGTTGTCTACACCAGGCGTCGGACCACAAAGTAATTGCTAAACAAGGAATATACGTATTCAGAAGGTTAAATTAGAGATCCTAAAAAGATCCAGATCACACTTCTAAAATAAAACTGCAGTGTGTGAGCTAAACAATATACTGACTGGATTTAGTGACAGAGACATTGCTGAAGAAAAGTGAGCGAACGAACTTGAAGCTAAAGCAGTAGAACATACAAAAATCGAAGCAGAGATTAAGGAGGGCTTTTAAAAATGTACCAAGCATCAGTGAACAATAGGAAACTCTAGGTGGCTTCAAATATGTATCACTGGGGTCTCCAAGGTGAAGGAGAGAGAAGGGGCATAAGAATGATGTGAAGGAATAAAGACTCGAATTGTCCTAAACTTGAGGAACATTACGCTACTAGCAAATGGAGACAGTTACACTAAGACAAGTCAAAATTCAATTCTTCAAAATCTGTGATTAAGAGAATCTGGAAAACTCGATGTGAAGTAAAAAACAGACAAAGGTTGAAGTTGTGTTCTTGTCAGGAGCACTTCAGGTGAGAAGGCAGCAGAGAGACTCAAAATTAGTTGGAAGAAATGTGTCTGTCCATCTAGGACTCGTAGCAAAAATACCTTTCTGTATATCATTCCAATCTTAGTGTATGTGCTGCCCAGGCAAACACAAAAATATCTTTCAAGAAAAAGACTAAGTAATTATTCAGACACAACAAAGCTAGAAGACTGCATCATCAACTGACCCACACTATGAGATACAGGAAGCTTCTTCCAGAAGGGAGCTGACATCACATGGAAAGAAGACCCAGCCACAGAGACAAAGAACACTAAAAATAGTGACTAATAAATACATGTGTGATATCCCTTATTATTTAAAATATTAAGAAATAGCTGTTTAAACAAAAGTCAAACCAGTCCAGATTGGGACCCAAGACTTACACGAGAGTAAAATGTACCATGGCGTAACACAGAGCTGGGGCAAGGGACCGGAGACGGGTTGCACCATCACAGGACTCTTAATACTACATGGGATGTCATGGACTTGCTGCTAAGGCGGCCAGCAGAGAGATACACAAGCACTAGCAGTGAAAACAGTCATGCCAAACAAGCTAACAAAGGAGGCCAGATGGAAGGGTAAAAATTCAGTCAATCCAAAATAAAGGGTAAAAAGAGAGGAAAGAGAACACTAGGCATATGGGTCAAAGAGAAAATACACTGAAGGGTAGAGGCTTCACCTAACCATACAAATAATTGCATTAAATTTAAGGGTCTAAATAACCCCAAATAGAATTATGGTTAGATGGCCAGATACTGAAAAGCAGATAAATAAACAAAAGCTATACGCTGTGAACAAGAAACATTTTAATACTTTAAAAGCGCAAACAGGTTAAAGACAGGAAATGCATCTCTGTCATTCGCGGCCTTGCATTCTGTGTAGTCACCTTGAAGGCTGAGTGAATGTTTCTAGCTAGATGGTGTGTGCATGCGCCTCACATAGACTCTGATCTTGTCTTCATTCAGTTTGTTCTACAGTAGAGAGAACAAGCTTCAGCAGGCCACTGCCTGGCCTAGGTCGTGCTCCATCAGGTTCTGAGCCGGGATTCAGGCCTGTCTAGCCGGTCCTAGGCCCAGAGCAGCTCCCCCGACCCCTGGCGCCCTCCTAGCTGCTCTGAGGGCTGAGACCTAAGGCGGTGTCACCCTGTTGGCCACAGCGGGGAGCCACCTTAGTTCAGGCAACTTAGGTAGTCCGCGGCTCTGGACACGTGTGAGCATGAGTGTGACAGCAGCACAGGCACTGGGTTGGGAGCTTTGAACCGACTGTAGCTGATCCGAGCAGGTCTTTCCCATTCACCGATGCACAACCCTAATGGAAAAGGTTTATGCGGCTCACAACGGGCTCAGGCCATGACCAGCTGGCCCCACGGCAGGAACAGCCTGGCGGAAGAACATAGCGAAGGAGATCTGCCCGCCCCACGGCAGCCAGAAGCATGGAGGAGCAAGGAGCTGGTGACAGGAGTGTACCTCCCAGGGGACTTCCCGTCCCTGGTGACCCACTTCCAGCGAGGAGCTGCCTCCTAGCAGCATAGTCAGCCATGCACTCATCGGGGGATTAATTCACTTGAGTTGAGCATCCCATGATGCAGTCGCTTTCCAAAAGCCCCATCTCAGAATGCATGACATTTTGGGACAGGCTTTCAGGGCTAAACCAAACACAGCACTTGCAGGTAGGGAACTTGCCCATAATGGGCCTAAATTGTGTTAACATAAAAATGGCTATGTTATGAGTAATACTGAACAGAGTAGAATTTATAAGAATATTATTAGGGATGATTAAAAAGGCAATTTCATAAATGGTAAGGGGTCAGTTAATTATAACAACCTGTAGTAACAGCCTGCAATATTTAGGCACCAAATGAGAAAGTTCAGAATGTATAAGCGATTACAGTGGAAGCTGTGGGGAAAAGTAAGCAAATTCATAAGTGCAACCAGAGAATTCAGCATTTCTGTCAATAGCTGACAGTGCAAGTAGACAGAAAATTGGTAAAAATATAAAGTAACACTATGACCAACTTAAATTAATTGACATTTAGGGAATGAATGTTCCCTCCAACAACATCAAAATATGTGTTCCTTTTAAATGCACATAGTACAGTTCTGGGCTATAATATTTAAATCTCAATACATATAAGAAGATTTAAGTCACACAAACTACATTCCTGTCTCAGTTACTTTTCGCTTCTTTCTGGGACAAATACCTGACACCCAAAATTAAGGAAGGAAAGGTTTATTTTTTTGGCAGAACCGGGGATTGAACTCAAGCCTTTGTGCTTGCCAGGGAGGCACTTATTCTGCTGAGCCATCTCCCCGGCCCCAAAGGAAGGGTTTCTTTAGCTCACAGTTTGTGGAGGTTTCAGTCCATACCCAGCTGGCTCCAAAGCAGACTGCCATATGGCAGAGGGCAGCAGCTCATGGTGGCAGAAGACAAACAGCTAGAGCAAAGGCAAGTAGAAGCAGCAGCAATGGCAGCAGAGGCAGAGAGCAAGCCTCTCTCCTATATGTTGAGTTAGGCTGTTTGCCCCAGGCCGGGCATAGCATTCACATGCATAATCCTAACAGCACTCACATCCTTAATCCCAGCACTGGATCATGAATTAATCACAACCTCTAGAAGTACACCACATAACTGCATGAGATTTTGGAGGACAACAAACCATAAGAATTCCTCACCACAGTGGAGTTGAGTTAGAAACCAGTATTAAAAATAATTACAAATATGCATTTGACATTTTCAAATATTTGTAAACATCAGAATAATGCATGGGATTGAAGAGATTGGTTGGGTCCCTAGTCCCATTTGTTTATCGTAGTGGAGAATTGTCTAGCAGCTGGAGCTTCCTTCGCCTGCGGTGGAAAGAACCCGTGGCTGGCCCAGGGTGGGGGGTTGGAGGAAGTAGCCAGAAAGTGAAGGTTGAGAGGTAAACTGAAGCCCCTAACCCTGGCTGCATCTGAATGGGAGTGTAAAAGGAAGGCAGGCCTTTCAGACAGCGAGAGGCATAATCCCAGTAGCAATGACAGCGTCGGAGGCTAGGCCTGAATTTGCCGTCCAAGAAAATCCTTGCGGGAGATTTTCTTGACCTAATTGTATGGGGGTATTCTAGATGGGCAGCTCTCAAAAAAGGCACAAACAACTGAAGGACGGGCACCATTCCATATGTCAAAAGCATGTTGAAAGAAAAATAAGGAAGGCAGGAGCCTCAGTATGAATCAGTCTAGACCTAGGTTAGGTAATGATGGTGAAGAACCCTCATCTCAAGACCGTAATGATCGTGAAAGTGGGAGAAGAAGGCAGCAAGAACGCCTCCTTAGAGAAGAAGCCTATTATCAGTTTATTAATGAACTCAGTGATGAAGATTATCGGCTAATGAGAGACCACAATCTTTTAGGCACCCCTGGAGAAATAACATCACAAGAACTGCAGCAGTGGTTAGATGGAGTGAAGGAGCAGCTAGCATCTCAGCCTGACTTGAGAAATGGGACAAATAACAGAGACTTGGAAGTCCCTAGAGAAAGTTCAAGTGAAGATTCTTTGCTAGAAGGGCTGCACACCTTTCGTCTTACTAGCAATGCCACTCGAAGTGGACAAAATGGGAACCAAACTTGGAGAGCTGTGAGTCGAACAAACCCAACCAGTGGAGAGTTTCGGTTTAGTCTGGAAATCCACATAAATCAAGAGAATAGAGGATTTGAAATTCGTGGGGAAGATGAGATGGGCACTTCACATCCAGATATTATTAGAGATCATATGAGAAGTAGGCAACAAAGATCAACTAGTCGTGTGGCTCGGAGAACAAGAAGCCAAACCTCAGTGAATTTCAGTGGTGGTAGTTCCAACGCTCCAAGGACTAGGCTTGGGTCGAGGAGGCAGAATTCAGTGGATGGATCGCACTCTCCACTGGGAAGGTTAAGGAGTAGAACTGGGAGAACGGTTGGTGCTCCCAGAAGTAGCGCTTCACACAGTAACTTTAGTAGTCAATCAGGTGGTAGTGAACTCAGGCAAAGGAAAGGACAGCGATTTGGAGCAGCACATATTTGGGAAAACGGGGCTAGAAGTAATGTTACAGTGAGGAATACAAACCAAAGATTAGAGCCAATAAGATTGCAGTCTACTTTCAGTAGCTGAAGCTGCTCACCAATTCAGAGACAGAGTGGTACTGTTTATAATTCCCAAAGGGAAAGTAGACCTTCACGGCAAACTGGTAGGTCTGTGAGGAGAAGAGGTATAACTCAGGTCTTTTTGGATCCAGATAGAGAACAAAGAGGCACTACATATTCCCAGTTCTCTAATTCAAGACTTGTGTCAAGAATAACAGTAGAAGAAGGGGAGGAGTCCAACAGATCCTCACCTGCTGTTTCACGGCATCCAACAATTACACTGAACCTTCAAGTAAGAAGGATTCGTCCTGGAGAAAATAGAGATCAGGATAGTATTGCAAGTGGGACCCGATCCAGAGCAGGGCTGGCAGAAAACACAGTCACTGTTGAAAGCGATAGTGGGGGATTTCGCAGAACCATTTCTCGTTTAGAGCGGTCAGGCATTCGAGCCTAGGTCAGTACCATAACAGTGCCTCTTCGTAGGATTTCTGAGAATGAGGTTGTTGAGCCATCCTCAACGGCTCTTCGGTCAATTTTTAGGCAGATTGTGACTGGGTTTGGAGAGCTGAGTTCTCTAATGGAGGCAGAATCAGAGTCAGAGATTCAGAGAAATGGTCAGCATTTGCCAGAACTGAATAGTTTAGGTACAGCTGATGACAGCAGCCAGCGAAGTGAAAGTTCCTCTCAACACAGGCGAGCCCAAAGAGATAGCACTGAAATGCCAGGTGAAAATGAGTCCACTCGGCCTCAGCACAGAAGCGGTGCCAATAGAAGTCGCAGGCAGCTGCGAAACTCAAACAGTTTGGTAGAACCGGAACACTACCTATTCTTCGCCTTGCTCGCTTCTTTTTATTAAACGAAAGTGACGATGATCAAATACATGGTTTAACCAAAGAGCAGATTGACAATCCTTCTACCCGGAACTATGAGCATAGCAGCATTGACAATGAACTAAATAAAATTTGTAGTGTTTGTATCAGTGGCTGTGTAACTGGAAACAAGCTCAGGCAGTTACCCTGCATGCACGAATTTCACATTCACTGACCGATGGCTGTCAGAGAATTGCACTTGTCCAGTCTGTCGGCAGCCTGTTTTCGATTCCAGTAGAGCAAACAATGGGTGAAATAAAGGGATCTATTCAAATATTGTATTTTAATAGATCTGAGTGTGTAAACATTCTTTCATTGAGTTGTAATGAGCTAACCAGGATGAAGAATAAGATTATAGTTTGAACTATTTTTGTGTGCTTTTTTAACTTGTCAAGAGTAGAATTTATATAAATTTAAAATAAAAATGTTAAATTGTCCAGAAGTACAGAATAGTTAATATTGCTAGAACCATATAATCTTTAAAATGTTTCTATTTTGGTAATTTTGTCATGCTAAGCACTTTTGTATCTGCACAATTCAATGACTTAAAAATCTTCCTCTTTTCATATTATTACAGAAGACTTATTTGAGTTTTTAAGTTTCATAAGCTTAGTACTATGTCTAGCCATTAATGTCTAAGCCTTTCAAAGAATGTTTGGGCTGAATGTTTACTATGTATATTTAAGTTGCCTGAAATGATAATTTAATATGCAACATACATTAGGTGTATATATAGATATATAATTTTAAGGTTAAAATATCTTGTCTAAAAACTATAAATATGATTCTTATTTAAGCTTTTGGGCTAATACTGTATATGACATAATGTTTGATATTGATGGACTCATCTCTGGAAGTGGATTGAGTTGTGATTTTGAGGTAGAGATAGTTTGTTGAAGCGTCTTTGACAGTCTGACTTGTGGGCAGGCAATGTATGGTACTGGACAAGTGTTTCTTTGTTCAGAGGTGGAGTGTGGGAAGATTGGAATGTACAGATTGGGTTGAGCTTTTTTCTTGAAATGTGCAAAAATTTTTTGGGGTTGAGTAGGGTGTACAGTGTGCATGGTTTCTCAAATTTAGTTTGTAGGGGTCTAGGGGGAGTCTGTGGAGAGTTGGGTGCATGGATGGTGCATTGGGTTCACTTGGAGGCCAAATGACTCCAGGACAGAAATCCTGAGGGGAATGTGGAGTGTGTCTGCACAAAGGGTATGCACTGGGCATCTGTTTCTATCAATAAATACTAAAACAAAAAAAAAAACAAAAGAATAATGCATGGAACACTGAAGAAATAAAAATACCAGGAGGCATTTCAAGCTGCATGAAATGAAGATACAACTTATCAAAATTCATGGAGTGTCATGAGCGCAGTCCTCTGTATAAATGACTATCTGTAGTCAAAAGACAAGGAAAAGTGTCAGGTGAGTGGCATCGGCTTATACTTGAAGAAACCAGAATAAAAAGAGCAATGGGACATTGAAGGAAGTAGAGAAAGAAAGCCAGGGACCAAAGGCGGCTCTTTGAGGTCAGTAATGAACCTTTAGCAGACAGACCCTAAAAGGGAGAAGGTCTGCCAGTGTTACAAGCAGCAGCAGCAGGTACCTGCTCTAGATTCTACGGGCAAGTCGGGCATGCTTAAAATGTCCACACAAGCAAATTTAACAAGTTACATGAAATGGATATATTAGAATATTTCTAGAAAGACGAATCACTAGACTTGCCCAAGAAGAAAAATTCAAATAACCCATATCTATTAAAGAAAATTATTTTTAAAGGTTCCACAAAGATCCCAGTCTCAAATGATTTTGTTGATTTATGTATGATTATTAGGGAAGAAAGTACAGTGATTCTGTGGAAGCTTAGAAAATTGAGAAGAGAGAGTACTTTCTTTTTCTATATATCTAGCATTGTAATACTAGAAATATCAAGAAAATAAAACCACAGATAAATATGCCTCATAAACAGACATAAGAATTATAAACAAAATTTTAGTAAATCAAGTATGACAATAAATCAAAAGGCTCTTACAGCAAGTAGGGTATATTCTAGGAAAGCAAGTTGGGATTAACAATCCATGCAACTTGAGTCCTTAATGCACTAAAAAATAATATGACTTCCTATAGTGTAGACATCAGCATCAATTCCTGATGTAAGAGACTCAGTGAGTCTTCTTTCAGACCTGGACTTCTTCGGTATCATAAAGGACTTTGTGAAGATGCACAGGTAATACCTTACTTAGTAGCAGAAGACTAAAGATTTTCCTCTGAGGTCAGGGACAGGCAGGGATGTTTGCTGCCCTCACTTCTGCCCTCACTTCTGTTCAGTACTAAAATTGTAGCCAGGCTGGGCGAGGGAAGAAAAGTATGCAGATTGGAAAGGAAGGAGTAAAACTTTATAGCTGAAAACAGCATGATTTTATATATAGAAAACCATAAGGAAAGTGTGTGTGCGCACACACACACACACACACACACACTCGAGCTTAAAAAATTCAGCAGGAAGATACAAAATCAGTATAAAAAGTCAGCTGCATTTCTGTGTAGAGCCAGCTCTCCATACCTGTCTATCGTGTCGGTGGCTTCAATTATGGGTCCAAAATATATGAAATAGTTGTAGCCGTGCCGACTGGGTATAGATGTTTTCTTGTCACTATTCCCTAAGCCATACAGTGTAATATCTTACTACCTGATGCCTTAGTTACTTTCTTATTGCTGGGACAAATTGCCCAACACCCACAAGTTAGAGAAGGAGAAGTTTATTTTAGCTCATAGCTTGTAGAAGTTTCAGTCTTTGTTAGCCGGCTCCAAGGCAGGATGACATGGCCGAGGAGATTGAGAGAAGGGAGACCAAGAAGGCAGGCTGGGCAGAAGTCGGCAAGTCGCAAGCCTGCCTCCTTCTCTTCGCCACACATTCTGTTCAGGCTCCACGCTGGTGTCACCTCACCCAGGTGGGCCTTCCCCGATCCACACCCAAAACCATGTGGAGCTAACCGGTGGACTAACTTAGTTACCACAGCCTTGGTCGTCCTGTGACTGGCACCTGCCAGTGCTCTCTCATGCCCTTGGCCCTGGCTAAGCAGGGTCTGAGCCAGTGTGGAAGCCAAGGGTGAGCCCCATCTGGAGCCCGGCTGCGGGCCACGGCCAGCTGCTGTGCAGGGCTGCTGCGCACCACAGGGCCACCTTGAGGCTTTGGAGGCTTTCCCAGGCTTTACTTTGGGGGCTAAACTTTTTTAAAAATTCATTTTAATGAGAAAAAAAGACAAAATAGCAATGAAGCAGTTTCAGAACAGGTTAGTTACAATAATTAATACATTGCATATTGTTGTCTTCGTAGTATTCAGAGGACAAGATGCAGACATGATATCTTGTCTAAACAATATTAGTACAAACCTTTCTTCTCATTGAACTAAAAGAAAGTAGCTGTGTATCTATCCTATCTTGTATATACATATATATATTCAGAACGAAACGGTCCTTTATTTATACCCCCCTTTTTTGTTTTGTTTTGTTTTGTCAGAGATGGGTGTTCCACTGCAGTTAGAGAAGCTGTATTTGGAGAAGTCTTTAAAGGACCTTTTCATACTTGCTGCCAGTCCAAAGATTGTAGTTACTTGAATTCAGCAAAATAACCCAATATAGTCCAATAGTCCATAATAGTAGTGGGTTATCAGCAGAACTGGCAATTGTCTGAAGTTGTTGACTTGAGCTTTTTACTGCTCAGCATATTAATATGGCTTTACTTTTTATACCTCATGGTTACTTTTCTGCTGGATGGTTAAGACCAAGTTAAAGCAAGACCTATGTAACTAAAAATGTAACTTTTGCTATCTGACAAGGTCAGTCAAGTTCCCTCAGGATTTACCCTGGAAGCACATACAGCACCTTGTAGATCTTTTGTCAGTGTCAGCCATCTGGATGAATCCCGGCCATTGCCTGACCAATTTGCTCTCTGTGAACACCTGAGAGAATTTTTATCTCTGGGTGACTCTCCTTAGGCACACTCTATATCGTCGATCACTTTCCTTTGTGGTGGGGCTAAGCTTTTTAATCAAGAAGTTTTTAAAAATCTTGGGAATGCATTGGTTTGTCACAGCACGGAAGTTGAGTTAGAAGATGCTGTAGTGTGGACATGATTTGTTCTCCAAGAGTCCACATGTGTGTGACATTGGTGGGTCACTTAAGAGAGCCGTGGGAGTCCCTTGTGAGGCACTGGGAAGGGATGGGTGCTGCTCGACCCGAGTCCTGAGCAGGAGGCCACAGCCAGCTGCTCTCCCAGCATGCTCTGCATCTGAGCCGGGCAAGGGATTAAACTGGCTCTCGACACCCTGAGGGCGTGCTTCAGAGCAGGCCTGTGCCTTGCTCCCGCTCCAGGCTCAGACGCACCGTGGCACTGCTTGCCTCGCACGTACCCTCACTGCTGTGCTAGGTCCTCCACCACAGCAGACCCTCCGCTGTGGTAGATACGCTGTGACTGCTTCGTGGTGCCTGAGTTCACAGAGGCTCCAGGCCATGAGCCTCCAGTCCTGCTGGCTCCCTGAGCCCAGCCCCAGGCATTTTGCTGTAGGAGTGAAAGTGTGCTGATCCCCAGTGCTTCACAGAAACCGGGAATGAGCCCTTGCTCAGCAGCCTGGGAAGCTCAGCTCGCCCTGGGAAGGGCTGTTGTGAGTGGGAGGAGGCTGGCCACTGGGCTTTGAAGAGATCTTTGTGACTGCCTAGCTTCAGTTTCTCCTCCTGCACAGGGGTGTCTGTGCTGGTGGCCAGGTCCAGGAAGCAGAGGCCTCACCGCGAGGCTGGGTGCCGGGCACATAGCAGCCTGCAGACTAATCAGCTGTCCACTGTCTCTCCACTCCCACCCCAGCCACCCACTCCTCTCCCCAGGCCCAGGATCGACCAACTGCCACCGTGACACCCCTGCGCACTCAGAGCTCCCCATCCCGGCTGCCTGCTACCAGCCTGAGGCCCCGCTCCGTGGTGTCCCCACAACATGGCCAGCAGTGCCTAGGTCAGATGAGTCCCCGGCCAGCCATCGCCCTGACCTCTGCCACATCAGCTGTCACACCACCCAGTGTCAGCACCACCAGCCTCAGTGGGGACATCGGTGTTGGTGGGGGCCTGTGCACATCTAGCCCCACTGGCACAGGGTGCAGACTGGATGACAAGAGGGGTGAGAAGGTAAGTGGACAGCCTGGGTATCCTGGGCGTCCTTGGCACCAGACAGGCCTGAGACGGGCAGAGCCAGACCGAGGAAAGCAGCCGGCTGGACGTTTTAAGCAAATCGGAGTACTGTTCCCTCCTCTTCTGTGGAAAAATCAGTGTAATGCTCTGACTTTTTTTAGAATGAAATGCACTCATATTGTTAGAATAAGATCTTTATTGCTGTGTGCTGGGAGAACACAGCAGTGGGAACCAAATCTGTGGGAGCAGTACCCCCCACTCGAATGTGCCGCTCTCGTGTAGTGCACAGCCTGTGCAGTCGTATGGGACAGGGCGCTTCCTGAGGAGAAATGGACGGCCAGCAGGGTGCCCACCCAGTCGCTGGTATGGACCGCACTTTCAGCCTTCCTTTCCGCTGTGATGGGTGCTGGGCTGTTTTCACGAAGGAAGCAGCCTGGCCACTGACCAGCCAGTTGGACACTAGGCCAGCCAGGATTGGAATCCACATTTCCAAGTCGGTGTGTCCAGCAGAAATAGAATGCTGGCTGCAGGCTTGATGAACATTGTCCAATACCCTCATTTTTTAAGAGTAAAATTTTAAAATTAAAGGTGAAATTTATTTCAATAGCCTATTCCACTAAGGATAACATCCAAACTATTCTTGCTTCAGTATGAAATCTACATAAAATTGCTGGTGAGCTGGTGGCTTTCCTTTTCCCCGTGAAGTGACCTTCGGAGCACTCGAGCCGTCTTGCAGTGCCAGCCACTGCTGCACAGCTGCCTGGAGCTCCTCCCACGTGAGCCTCTGGGGAGCCCTTCTGTCTCAACTTCCCCCGTTCCGGGGCTCTGCTGTTGTCCTGTGTGGAGCTGGTTTGGACTGGGGTGCTGGCAGGGCAGCTGAAATTAGGTGAGGTGCGGGCTACGCTCTCCTCCAGGCCTTGCCGTGCTGTGTGCGGTTCCAGGCCTCTGTCCCCTTGGGCGGCTGACTGGCTCCTGGCTCGGCACCTGCTGCTCCATCCTGCCCAGCAGGATGTCCTTCTCATGGCCACAGCTGAGGAGGGCCCTGTGTCCAGGCCTCTGAGGCTGCAGGCGTGAGGTGGCTGCTCTGGGCTTGTGTCTGCCTGCAATTGGCTGGGCCCATCCATCTCGGGCCTGGTTCTGAGACACAGCCTGTGTGTTGGGCAATAGGGAGGGTCTGCCCCTGCCCGGGCCATTGGGGGCCTCCCCTGATAACTGAGGAAAAGCAGGTCAGGCCGCCAGAGAGGGCTATGGTCACACTCAAGTGCAGGTTGCTGTTTGCCCCCGAACGCCCTCTCCAGATCACAGACACTAGTGCCTTGCACGTGGCACTAGTGGGTCACAGGTGAGGAGGCCCAAGAGGGTTCTGTGTGTGGAGTCAGACATGTGGGATCAGATTGTGGGCATTGGGCAGGAGCCATGGTATCCCCACTGCTATCCTCTGCGCACATAGCCAGGAGAATCTAGGTGAGCCGTGGGGGCTCCAGGCGTGATCAGACTTCCTCTGCTGACAGCTTGGGTGGAATCCAGGGACCCACAGGGTGTCTTCTTCCTCGTGTGGCCCCACGCTCCCCGCAGCAGAAATGCCTGGGCCAGCACTGGCCCGGACCAGCAAGCCTGGGCTGAGTGGGACAAGGGCAGCATGGAGAGCAGGTCCTGTGTGCCCCAGGGCGACTGGTGGAGGCTCGCCCGCCCCAGGGAAGCTCTGCCCTTCCACACTCAGGATAAGGTCTGTAAGACTGCCTGTCCCTGTTTGCCATCTGTGCTCCCCGCTGGGCTTTTCCTGACTCCCAGCAAGGCACACGGCATTCACAGTTGCCACCTGCAGCTTAGGAGCTGAGAGGATGCTGCCTGACACAGGCAGGGTTGTGACCCAGACAGCTCAGGCCCTCCACCATGACCACAGCTGGACAGGCTTCTGACTGAAGACGCACAGTGCCACTTCATGTCTCCTCCTGAGCAACCCTGTCCCACATTCTCCCGTGTGGTTCTGGCAAAGCAGTATTTGAAAGTACTTGGCAGAGTCTCCAGGAGCTTCTCTCGCTGAATTTCCTTCAGGAGGAGACAGTGGGCACCAGCTCTGCTGTTCAGTGAGGCAGAACTTCATGCCACATGGCTTCTTGGTGCTGAGCCCAGCGGGCGGGTCAGGGCACTTCCAGCATGTGCTGGAGGGAGCTGGGATGGCTGGGGGTGGGCTCCCAGGGGAAGAGAGTGACTTTCCCAGGAGCATGGCAGGGTGGTGCTCTGGCACTGCTGGTCGTAGAGGACGAGGCCAAGGTCCAGGTCTGTGTGGGGTGGTGCCTGCGGTGGTGGAGGTCCAGGGAGGCTGTCCTGGAGGCTGGTTGTCTTCTCTCATCCCCTTGGGATTTGGACCTTCAGACCTGCTCTCTTGGTCCCAACCTCAGCCCTTCTCTCTGGTTTGCATACTGCTCTGTAGTCTTCGGCCTGAGCAGAGCTCTCTCCAGGCCTGGCATCCCCAAAGGTTGGGGCGCTCTCCAGTCTGACTCATGATGCTCCAGATCCTGCTCCTCTGCCCTATGCCAGAGTGCTCTCTGCCTGCCAGCCTCCTGGAGACCACTCCTGGGGGTGGCCTGGGGACACCTGTGCCAGGCAGACAGCAGATTGCACATAGCTGGTACTGAACTGTGTGTGGTTCACCAGAACTCACATCACAGAGGACTTTTCATCACCCAGGTTTCCTGGGTTGGCTGGGGTCTTTCCACTTGGGGATGCATCTGCTTTGGTGTGTTGGGTAGAAGAAGAGACGCCAGAGACACCATGTTCTGTAGATGCTATAGCAGGTCAGCTCCTGGGCAGCTTCCCATAGGACTTGGGTCCATGCCTTTGGAGAGGGTCTGGATACTGTTTTCAGAATGATTTTTGTGATCCCACAAATCACAAGGAGAAACAAAATCTGGTGTAGCCTGAGAGGAGGGTGGGAGAATGGAGTACCTCCCACCCAGAAGCCCGGAGCTCTCCTTGCTCCCTTGCATGCCCTACCCTGGCCCAGAGAGAGGCAGACTCTGCCCATGTCTGGCATAGGGAAGCAGTGGGTGGCAGTAGACAGATCTGTGTGTGGGAGCAGAGACCTCAGGAAGGTTCTAGTAGCAGGGGGAAGGTGGGAGAAACTTTGGCTGACAACCTAATCACTGTGGGCCAAAGAGAGGTGCCCTGGGTAGGTGGGGACCTGAGGGGCCTCTGGAAGGCTCCTTGCTGCTCTGCCTGGTTCCCGAAGGAGGGAGGAGGTGTGGCAATGGGAAGATGTTGGAAGGTGTGACTCTCTGCTGGAAGCCCACCTCCTCCTCTCAGGCAGCCAGCCCTGTCTTGTGCCAGCTCAGCCACAGGCGCCTGGTACCCATCTCATGCCCTCCCTTGTGCTGAGGCTTGTGGGGGGTACTCTTCCTCTGATCTCCGCACAGTCTTCCTCTAACCTCCAGTTTCCAGGTGACTGTCGCCTGGACTTGGCCCCACGTCCCTCCTTTTGTGAGGTGGAACAGAGGGAGGATGCTGGGCTGTGGTGGGTCAGTGCTAGGACGGGTAGTGCGTGGGGTCACACCCGAGGCCATGTGTGCTGGGCTGGAAACATCTGTGTCTCAGAGTCCCTGGCCCACAGCCCCAAACAAGACATCTGGTGACATCTGGAGACAGAAGGTTCCACTCCTGTGACACACATCACTATCCTATGTGTCGTGTGCCTTTCAGCGTCGGTTCGTGTGCCACAAGTTACAAGCACATTTGTGATACCCATTTTCCAGGAGCTGGGTGTAGGTAGTACAGAGGCCGCCTACACGCCCCTCCCATGCGTCGTCTTGCCACCCGAGTTCCTCACCCTGTGCTTCTGAGAGGGGTGAATTAGTTAATCTCACAACTGCATAGCATAGTATTCAGGGCAAAATATTAGAAATTTATTCTGAATTTGATAGCTCATTGAGAATCCCATATAAATTATGAGGCCGACGCAGAGTAAAACTTCTAGCCCTGAGGCTTCTAGAAAAGATCAAAAGAGATTTGATTTTGCAGTTTTAGGAAACGAAGTGCTTATCCCCACCAAACTGAGAGCTGTCAGATTTCTCAGCAGTGAACGCTGACACGCTGGAGCAGCTGCTTGTGACACGTTACTCATCTCCCACCACAGCAGGAGAGGAGCTGCCCCTAGGCCTCGCTCCCTGTTGATGCAGGATACACTTGGAGGGGCAGTTACAGCCTCAGGTTTACTGCGGAAGTGAAAAGAGCTGCAGGAAACTGTCCTCACAAGAAGTGCAGCTTCAACTGCAAAGCCCCGAACAATCATCTTTTAGATAGTAAAAAGCCTGGAAGTGGAATCACATGGACAGCAATAAGGGTTGTTGTTACTCCCGAGAGGATAACTGGTAACTAGTAACTCATCCGATGTGGGAGCATAGCTAGTAACCACTAACTCACTCCTTAGCATGGAGCAGTTAGCCAGTACCCAGTAACCCCTGGGTGGGGAGCGCACTAACTAGTACCCAGTAACTCCTCTGAGGTGGAGGCTGTGACAGGTGCCCAGTGACTCCTAGGAGGTGGGTAGTGACTTGAGATGCTACGCCCTGCCTGTGGCCGGGGTCGCGGTGAATGGTGCCCCTTCGTTCCCACAGGAGACGGGCCGCAGACCCACCTGGAGAAGCCGCTGCGCAGACCCTGAGTCCGTGCTCAGCCGAGCACTCGTAATCAGCCTGCCACCCTTGCCGCCATTGCTTGGCTATCACTGCAGCTCTCCGTACAGTGCAGCCCCTTTCTCTTGGCCTGTGTTTTAAGAAATGGGGTACAGGAGGAGGCCACAAATTCTGTGAGCATGGACTCCTCCTCATCGTGTGCTTTGTGAAGTGCGAGGACAGTGCAGAGGAGCAGGAGAGAGCACACGGCCAGGCCGCAAGCTGCTCCCCCAGAGCGGCAAGGAGAGCTCACAGGCTGGACTGGCACTGGCCTCTGTGGCCTCCTGCTACCGCTGTTTCCTGCGGGTCCGTTGTTACAGTCGGTCTTCTTTCCAAGGCAGCCTTTCTGAAGATATTTTAATATTTGAAATACCCAGTAGCTTGCGTACAATTTTCTGTCTCCTTTAATTAGCTTGTGAACTTCTTCCTCTTTATCCACTATAGATCTTTTCTCCTTTGCCCTTCTGAGGATGCTTGGCATATTTAGGGTGTTCTGAGCCTCTGCTCCTCCCAAATCGGGTTTCAAGCAGAACTAGAGATGTGCCCTTTTTCCATTAAAATTTCAGTAGTGCACAGCTTTTAATTACCCTTTTTTTTCTCCAACAAGAAGGTTTGCAAACATAAAATAATAACCCCAAAACTTCCAAGTGTAACTTGCAGCCTTGAGCCAGACAAGGGAAGGTCCGCGTCGCCAGGGCCTGTTTCCGCTGTCACCCAGACTGCTTGGTGCCTCCAGCATTGCGGGCCCATTCTCCTGTGCATCAGGCCTCTGTGGTCCAAGCAAGCTGCAGTGGCTGTCACTGGTCCTGTGGCTGCTTCAGACTTCTGCTCTCCATCATGGAACCTGCACAGAACTTTTCCTGAACATCAGAGCCTAAACCCCATGCAGACAGGGAAGTTCCCAGATTCAGCATAACCATGTCATCAGAGCCCCTCTGTGTGGCATGCATGCTGTCTCTCCAGCTCACATGTGCTTACGCATCATGTTTCTACATATGCAGAAGCATATATACATGTGCACGTGCATGCTCACCTCCCCACACGTGTGCACACACAGTGCCCAGCCTCTGGCAGATGCCTGGTGCTCTACTCAGTCTCCAGCATTGAGGGTAACACCATCAGCCCTGCTGAGGACCAGGCCCACTCCCACTCTGTGAGACTTGTGGGCTCAGCACAGACCTGCCTGGCACACAGGGAGGTGTGCAGCTGCCCAGTGACCATACTGGCCCCCTTGGCTGTCTCAGGGCCTGCCCCTTGGGCATCAGTCCAGAGCAGCTCTAACTTCAGTGTCTTCAGAGCCTAGATCCAGGGTGTTGCTAATGCCCACTACAGGGTGAAATCTGGGGAGCAGCAGCAGCAGCAGGAGAGGGGCCTGGGGCCCCCAGGACAAGGTTATGAGGCCCTAGGACTGCTAGGGGGCACATGCCAACGCGGTGTTGCTGTGAGCAAGGCCCTTCAGGTCCTCTTCTGTACATGAGGAACTGTGGTCCATGAAGCCTGAGCAGCTCTTTGAGCAAGGGCAGCTGCCTTCAGGGCAGGCTTTACCTGGGAAAGTCCCAAGAGTGTCCACAGTGGAGGTGCCAAGGAGCAGGTCTCCCTCCCTGCTGGAGTGAGAGCACACACCAGTAACCCCACCAGCACTGCGCCCTCCCCTGGGCATAGGCAGTGCCCAGAGCCTCTGTGGCCTGTGCTGGGTGGGGAAGAGCAGGAAGTCAGTGCTGCTGGGCTTACACAGGAAGCTGTCCTAGCACAGGAGCTTTGCTGTGATGCCCTGTGGAGGCACCAGCCACAGGCTGCACAGCCCTGCAGCTTCCCTAGTTGTGTGATGCTTGTAGGACTCGACAGGAGCTATCTGGGCCTTTCAGGGCACAAGTGTGGGGTTGCAGCTGCGCCAGATCTCTGTAAAAGTGGAGAAGACAGCAGCTGGACATCTGGTCTTGTAGCTGAGCCTTGGGCTTTGTGGTCTGTGACATCTTCCTGCCTGGTTACAAGGAAGGAGGGAACATGGGGCCACCATCTCACCTGCCTCCTTACCAGCTTTGCAAGATCATCCTCAGAGTTCTGCGTGAGGAACCCTAACCACTTAGTGCCATCCTTTGTGTCCCCCCAGAAAGAGAAGAAGAGTGGGCTGCTGAAGCTTCTGGCTGGGGCATCCACCAGGAGGAAGTCGCGTTCCCCACCGTCCTTCTCCCCAACCCATGACCCTCTGGTGACCACAGACACCTCGCTGCTGGGAGCCGTGGGCCCGGAGGTGTCCTCCCTGTCTGTGCACAGCAGGGCAGGCTCCTGCCCCATCGAGAGCGAGATGCGGGGAGCCATGGGGCTGGAGCCACTGCACAGGAAGACAGGCTCCCTGGATCTGAACTTCTGTTCCTCCCCGGCCCGGCAGGCGGCTCTCTCTATGGCTGCCGTCCGCCCTGAGCCCAAGCCGCTGCCCAGGGAGAGGTAAGCATGTGCGGGCTGTATGCTGCGTGCCATGCACTGGGCATCCAAGGTCTGGAGCCCTTCTTGTACAGGGGCAAGGGGCTCAGTCCACCTAACACCCCTTATCACCCAGCCACTTGGCTCCAAAGAGGGATGGGCTTGGGCTTTGCGGAGTCTGGGACCTGGAGCTGCTGTTGAGTCCCCTGCACACTCATTTCCTGCATGTGGGACTGCAAGGCACTCACCAGGACATTTGTCCAGACCAGTGTGGGACTGAGCACAAACACTGGGCAATCAGGTAGTAGAGGACTTGCCCCCACCCGGGGACCCAGAATGGTTCCCTGAACTGAGTGTCATCCTGCTGTGACATCTTAGAATTAAACGATGTCTTGGGCTGGGGATATAGTTCAATGACATAAGTGCCTGCCTGGCAAGTGCAAGGTCCTGAGTTCGATCCCTGGTACAAAAAAAGTCTCAGAATTGGCTCAGAGTGCACATAGCCCACCAGGGTGAGCCATCAAAGTTGCCAGTTATCATCCATGTTTTACCCAAGCCAGCAGTTTCACATCAGTCAGCCTGAGCTTTGCAGATCTGAAAACTGAGGCATAGCTGCAGGCACCTGAGTTTTACAGCAGTCAAAGTTTTCTTCTGGCGGGGTGACGCTACCTATTAAACTGTCTATCCTGAAGGCTCCTGCGAAGGCAGACATGGCAGAGATGGGTGAGCTGGCCTGCAGAGGGGCCAGGGATGAGGCTGTGCGGGGCCACTGCTGACAGAGCAGAGCACTCAGGATGGACTGAGAAGCACCCTGACCACAGAAGGCTGCAGCCAACACCAGGCTCCTGCAGCTGCTGGCCCTGGCACATTACACCTGGAAGGCACACAGGTGGCAGTGAGTACTGCAGACACTGCACACACCATGCACCACACACACATACACACACCGTGCACTATACACACAACATACACTACACATGCCAGACATCACACGCACCATATACCACATACACCACGCACTGTGCATGCACTCTACACCACACCCACAGCGTACACCACATCCCATACAGCACACACTTGCACACCTCACACCACATACGTCACACACCATATAATACCACACCAGACAGCACACACACACCATGTAGCACACATACAATGCACCATACATGCACCATATACCCCCACACCACACACCACACACATACAGTGTACATACACCATATGCCAAGCATACACCATACAGCATACACACATGCCTTATACCACATAATACCACACACCATACAGCACACAAACACACACATATCACACACAAAGCACACCATTCACCACACACATCATACACTATACATGCACCATACAGCACACGCACAATATGCCACACATATCAAACTCATACCACACGCTATACATACTACACAACACACACAGGACACAGCATGTACACCATGCACCTATGACATACCACATTCACACCATGTAGCACACACACTGTACACACCATACACTACATAAACCATATAGCTTGAACATATCATACACCTCAGACATCATAGGCCGTAGTGTACCATATACTACATACACCGTACAGCACACACACTATATATCATATGCCACACCATACACCACATACACACCACATAGCACACACACTATCTAAACACCACGTGCCACACATACAGCACACATGCGACACACAGCACACACTGTGGACACCATGCACCGTGCAGCACATTCACTATACACACCAGGCGGGGCACACATGACACTACACACCTCGCACATGTACAAGCACACGTAACAGGCACCCGTGCCATCATCCCCTTGGGTACATAACGCAAATCATGCACATACACTACACATGCACTCTCTTGCTTCTTCTCTCCTTCTTGCTCTTGCCCTTGCCCAGAAGCGCCCCTGGTGTCAGACCCCTGGGCAGGCAACATCTGCTGCTCCACGGCCCTGGCCTGCAACAGTGGCTCTAGCCCAGCTGCAGGTCCCAAGTGGGTCTGACCGGCAAAGCAGATCTACATCCTGCTGTGTAGACCAGAGAGCCCATCACCAGCCCTTCCAAAGGGACTGTCCTTTGCCTATGGACAGTGTGTCAGGCAGACAAACCTGCAAATTTCTTGGTCATCTCATCAAGGAGTAGTTAGGGAGGCAAATATTGGTGTGTATATGGTGTGGCATGTGTATGATGTGTGTGTGTATGACACATGGTGTGTATGCTGTGTGGTGTAGGGCTTCAGGTAGAACAGTCTCCTGCCCTGTCCCCCTCGGAGGGCAGTGCTGGCCCAGGATCAGCTGTGCCAGCCAGGCTGAGCCCTTGGGTGCCTGCTCCTCAGAAGCCCTGGAGGCTTTGAGCAGATGGACAGCCTGCCTTCTGGTGGCTGGCTCACCACTCTGAGAGCCAGCTTTTTCACTTCTCGAGAGCAGTTCCTGGGGCATCCACACCAGGGGATGACACCTGCCTGATACAGTATTTGTGAAGCACCTAGCTAATACCCGGAATGTATGCGTGTATAATGACTTATGACGTGGCCTACATTATGACATGTGCAGTAGTGAGAGCAGAGGGGTGATGGGGCCCACGCCGCCCCCTCTGCCTGGCTTCCCTCTCTCGAGGAGGAAGCCCTTCTGCTTTGCTCATTGCTTGCTGGCCAGGCCTGGCTCAGCCTTTGTTGGCCCAGGACATGCTGTGGCTGGCAGAACAGTAGCGCCCAGGATTTCCTTGCCCTTGTCACCCAAAGCCATGGATATGCCACCTCATGTGGCAGAGAGGAGTGGAGCTGCCAATGGCCAATGGGAAGGAAGGGGGATGGCCCACCTCAGCCAGCCAGTGTGGTCACAGGGTCCTTGAGGGCGACCAAAGCCCTGCTATGTGAGGACTCACCCTGGCCTCTGAGCATGCGGGGGCGGGATGCGGATGACCAGATTCTGTAGAGCCACTGAAAGGCACCAGCCTTGCAACACCCGGCTTCTGGCCCAGTGAGACCTTGTTGGATTTGTGCTTCTAGAACTGTGAAAGTGGGACTCCAAGGCAGGAAGGTGCACCAACTCTGGCCACTCATTGCACAACCAGTGGCCTATAGGCACAGTCAGTCCTGTGGTGCAGTGGTTTACTCACGAGCTTGACTTTACCATGGAGATGTTTTCACCCATGTAGTTTTTGGTCAATCACAAGGTAGGCTTTGTGTGAGATGACCTTGCCCAAACGTCTGTGCATGTGGAAGGCAGGCTGGGCCAACCTGGAGGGAGGGGGATGAACACAGTGCCACTTCCTGGGGTTTCAGTTTGAGGTAGTGGCCCCGTCACAAGCTCGGGAACACAGTGCATGCATCACTGCCTCGGACTCCAGGGCACAGGTGCAGCCTGGTCATTTCCAAGTTGCTGACGTGACATCAGCTCAGTGGCCCACTTTCTTCAACTTGGTTTGAACAAATGCTCAGGAAAGGCTGCCATGTGGAAGGTGACTTGGCTGCTAGGGCAGGGGACCACATGAAAGGAGCTGACCTCACGTCTGTTAGATTTTATAATGTCCTGGTTTCCCTAAGGCCAGTGGCTCCACATGGCTAGACAGAGTTTAGGCCGCCTTGTCATCTGTGGAGGCAGATGACCAAGAGGAGGAGGGGGAGGAGGTCGGACATCCCACACTGGAGGTGGGCCAGAGCAAAGGACGCCAGAGAGTCCACTTGGGCCCAGACCTGGGCGCACGCTGCAGTTCACACAGCCTGCTTGCACTGCAGAGGATGGTGTCACCGACTGGCAAGGCGCAGTGATCACTGCTTTGGAGGGCGGTTGTCCTTTGAGGCCCTCACGGCCCAGATGTCCAAGACAAGCAGCACCCATCTTTCTCCTGCAGCAAGGGAAGAGTCCCGTCTTTGGCCATCTTGACAGAAGCAGCAGACGCCACTCTTGTAGGAATTCACTGCATATTTATCTTGGCGCCTCAGTCATGAGTTGCTCTGAAACACCAAATTACTTCTAACAAATTACATTTTTAAAGCTGCTTGTTTGTTTCACATCTGGCAGTCAAGACAGAAGCCAAAGCTGGTGTTAAGCATCTGAGAAACACTCACCCTTTGCTGTCTTTCCCTGGGAAGGGAGGAGGAGGAGGTGAGAATATGGGGAGCTGCTGGGAGGACATGGTGGGGACACTGTCATGTGTCGGGCATGTGACTTCACAGCCAGCCAGCTGTAGCCCTCACAGAAACGCTGACTGCAAGGGGATGGGCAGCTGTTTCCTGGCCTCTGTACTCCAGGAGCTGGTGCTGTGCAGCCGTGGACAGCTGTGGGGACTGGGCCAGCACCTGCAGCTGCACTAAGGCCTTGGAGGTGGTCCCCCTCTGTGCTGGGCCCAGGCCTGGCCAGCCCTGCTGCCTCTGGAAGGGTGTGTACTCCTACCTCCCCTTGCTAGCATTGCCTCAGGCATGAGCTGAGCCCCAGCTGTGAGGTCCCTGGTTCTCTCCCATCTGCCTCCTCTGCCCTAGCTGCTCCAGGGCCACTGCTTCTGAGGTCAAGCTAGACTGGCAAGCAGTGCCACAGTCCCATCTCCAGGAGCAGTGGGGTCCCCAAGGGATGAAGTCCTCTTTCCCAGGGCACGAACTTAGCACCTGTGTTCTCAGGCATCCACTGCAAATGTGTGCTCCTAAAGGTTGTCAGAGTCCACATTCTCGACCTATTCCTTCAGACTCCTGCACTAGATCCAGAGATCTGTCCTGGGGCTGCTGACAGCCACTGATCACGTGAGAGGGGCTAACCTAGGGTCTGGTACATTTTATAATGTTCTGGTTTCCCTAAGGCCAGAGATGCCACATGCCTAGACAGAATTTGTAGTAGGGCAGAATTTAGGACAAACTGAACCCAGCTCCTGCCCTGGTGATAGGGAGGGTGGGAACCAGAACGGGAAATGCTCTGGTCCTGATGTCTTCGTCCAGGCTGCTCACTGGAACAACTTTGGGGCAGGGTCACCCACAGAGGAAAGAGCCGGCCCAGGCACAGCTGGGAGGCAGCAACTTCTCTTGTCACTCATGTCACCGAGACAGGTATTCCTTCTGTCTGGGGCTGCCAGGACCTTCTGGCTCTCAGACCTGGTGAGGCCAGCAAAGAACTGGACACCCCACGGGGCTGGTGGGAGAGACGGTGTTGTCAGGGGTGCGGCTGAGTGCTTCTCGGCCTGCCAGGTGCAGACCCTGAGCCTTGGGTCCCCATCAGGGTACTGCCAAAGGAGAGCAAGTTCCCATCTAGGGGTGCCTGCTCCACCCAGAGGGACCTTGGTCTGAGCTTCCAGCCACAGGCACTCCTTGAGTACCACCTGGCAGCAACCACACTGTGAAAGCCACTTAGTTTCCATTTTCTGTCCAATTGGTCTGAAAATGGGGACCCTCAGGTGGGCTTGGAGGCAGCAGGGGCCGAGGTCTCAGGGAAACAAGAGGAGGGCAAGTCGGACCTTTGCGTGTTGGTGCTGTGCCCTCAGCCAGTGTAGCTGCAAAGGCACCACCTTGTGGCTTTCAGCATGTGGAGAACAGCCTGACCAACGCTACCTCCAAAGTGCCTTGTCCTCACCCTCGGTCATCCTTGCATGGCCCCACCTAGGGGTGTGTGTAGTATGTTCAGAGAAGCTGGCGCCTTGACAAGTACCCACATGAGCCGAGGTCCATGGCCAAGATGATGACAGCGGACATGGGGCTGCCTTGAGGCTCCCCCTACCCCTGTGCGCATAGTTTGCAGTGGGTAGGGTGGGATCAGGGAAGGCTGTGGAGCTACATCACAGCCACACCTGACATCTGTGTGTTTGGAAAGATACCATAAGGAAATTTGTTTCTTTTTTCTTTTTTTTTTTTTTGGTGGAACTGGGGATTGAGCTCAGGTCCTTACACTTGCCAGGTAAGTGCTTATTCTAATGAGCCATCTCCCCAGCCCCAGGAAATCTGTTTCTAATGTGTTGATTAAAAAGTGAATGAAGGGCTGGCCAGATAGCTCAGCAGATTGAAGCGCCTGCTTAGGTAGATGCAGGGGATGGGTGCTGGTCCCACCCCCAGGGCATGCTGAGATGGTGATTGAGACTGGGCATGGTGGCACAGGCCTGTAATCCCAGCACTTGGGAGGCTGAAAGCAGGAGGATCACTATGAGTCTGATCTGTGTAGCGAGACCCTGCAGACCCTGCACTAAATACATTTAAAAAAAAAAGTGGATGAAGAGTTCTGAAAAAATTGAGAGATGATACGAGTCATATCAAGGGAGGGAAGCACCCTTAGACAGGAGTTTCCCTGGAGGGGGAAGAGGACAACCTAGTGCTCACACTGTGTTCTGTCCCCAGGTACCGCGTGGTGGTCTCCTACCCACCCCAGAGTGAGGCGGAGATTGAACTGAGGGAGGGCGACGTGGTCTTTGTGCACCGCAAGCGCGAGGATGGCTGGTACGAGGGTACCCTGCAGCGAAATGGACGCACAGGGCTCTTTCCAGGCAGCTTTGTGGAGAGCTTCTGAGATGGCCGGCATCTGGCAGGGATGGCTGGGCAGCAGGCTGCGCCATGGGTGTGTGCCTCTTCCTGATGCCATCGCTCTCCACTACCCAGAGGGAGAGGTGGTGGGAACCTGGCAGTGTCGCCGTTGCTGTGGCCGGTGTGGTGGGAGCCACAGGAAGCAGCAAGTCCAGCTCTGCAGGGCAGAGCATCTGGAGGAGGGTCCTGCTTGGCCATCCTGCCGGCATACCTCAGCCACTGCCACCAGGCCACATGGTTGCACACGCCTCCCCAGCCACCCCAGTGCTGCATCCTGCTGTCTGTGGTACCCGGCTTCACCGTCGTCATCTGTGCTGCCTCTTTCTTACACCATTTTCTAATGTGCAGGTTGACTTTGTTTCTTGTGGGTCAGACATCCTCTGTTTCACATATCTGGTGCTGCCTTTTGTAAAACTTGTAATGACCTGGGTGAGCTTGAAAGAAGCAATGTCCAAGGTGACGTCTAAGGCAGGTTTTGCATTCGCCATCTGAGTCTCGGGCATTTGGATGCCCCTCCTTAACGCCAGGTGGGGCCAGTGCTCCGGAGGTGAGTGGTGGGCAGTCAGGGAGTTGAGGGCTGGGAGGGCAGCAGTTGCTCTCCTCACCCTGGCCACAGTCCAGCTCTGTGTAGATGAATGTCACTCAGGACAAGGACCAAGTGTGAGGGCTCCTCTGACCAGCTTTCTGCTGGCAGTGGGAAGAACACAGAGCTTGACCTAGTTCAGGCTGGCAGGAGCATCCTTTTATTCCCAGAGAGGACAGCTGTCATTAGCCTTCTCAACATGTGGGTTCTTGCCATCAAAATGTGCAGTTTTCACCACAGTTCAGATCACCACCTTGCATATTTTTTTCTTCTTTTTAAGAAATAAATTACTGCTCCCTTATCAGCTGTGCCCAGCTTTCTGTGCCCAGACAGCAAGGATGAGGGGCTTCAGACTTGCAGTTTGGGGCTGGGGAGGGTGCAGGAGGGGCACTCAGAAGGTGGGTGCTGCCAACAGCGGTGCGCCACTGTGAGGCAGTTTCGTTTTCGGTTATACATCAGGAATGTATTCTGCCTCCAAGGGGATGCATGTGTCTTCTCTGAATACTGAGCCCTTGAGGTCCCCAGCATGGATTACCGTACCTTCTGGTGGTGCATCTCCTTCCTTTGGAAGCCCCTAGTGTCCTTTCTGGTGCTCCCATGGCTTTCTCTGGCTGCTGTACCTGCTGGGGAACCGCTGCACAGAGCACACTTGGTGCCCTCAGTAACACGACAGCTGAAGGAAATGGGAAGCGGGGTCTGAATCAGAAGGAAGGGCATCTGGTTTAAAGGGAGCCCTGGTGCTGGGTCAGTGACCACCGGGGAGTCCGAACCTCATTATCACCCCATCTGTTCCCACCATGGCAAGAAGTCCTGTGCCTGTCACCCAAAGCACCTGGCACACCCTTGGCAAGGCCCATGTTCTCCTGGGGGACCAGAACAAACCTGCATGTCCAGATAATACAGTGATCTGCTTTTTGAAGTGAGGGCAGCTACCAAGCAACAGAAGAGACCACCTCAGGCTTGGCTCCCACCCAGCCACTCTGACAGGTTCCCTGGGGGTCAGTGGAGGAGGGTGGGGACTGCATGCACTCTGATGGGGGCATGGCCAGAGGTCTCTGAGGTGCCAGCAGGTGGGCAGTGGGCCCACCTCAGGGAACAAAGCAGTGCTGTGTCCTGGACAGCACCAGGGTGAGCTTCTGGGCGGGAGCCTGGGAGCTGGGGCTTCCGGAGAGCAGAGAGATGCCTGACCCACTGCCACACCGAGTTCCTACCCCTGCGCACACCTGGCCTTGGCTCCATGAGAAGGGTCCACAGGCAAGAGCAGAGCAGAGGGGCCCCCGAGATGAGTGTGTCCCAAGCACACACACAGCGTGTGACCCTCATTTCCTGTCCTGGCTGCTCTGAGCACTCAGCTGTGCAGTGGCCAAGGCAGCTTTCACTGAGGCACAGCACTCTGCAGCCATGACAGTGAGCTCTGTGGCACCAGGAGACAGGACCAAGGGCCGAGAGCCGAGGAAGGCAGAGGGGCCGGGCAGGGGCTGAGTGCCAGGCGGTGCCCACATAGCTTAGATGCACCCGGAACTCCTGCTTTACCCTGAAGTCAACCCACGGCTTTGGAGGAGCTGGCGCCATTGATGAGCTACAGTGCCTGCTCTCTCGGTTTGAATAAATACAGATGATTATGGCAGGTTCTCGTGTGGGTGGTAGGCAGAGCAGCGGGGCCTCAGCAGAGGCCAGGTACGTGTACCCCCACACCCTGGCCAGCAACAAAGGTGGGTGCAAGCCAGACGCTCACCGACCCTGAGAGGTCACCGGCTGGGCAGTGAGACCACGTGCAAAGCCAGCTGGTAGAAGTGGGGCTCCCTCAGGCCCTCAGGCCCATGGGGCTGAAAATGCAGGAGCCTGTCTAGGACCCTTTAGCCTCCGCTCTTCCAGTCCCTGATGACCAGAGAGCCCTGGGTGCCCTCAGGTGCCAGGCTATAAGTTGTTTAGAGCATGGGATAGGATCTCTGGGGTCACAGCTCCCTCTGCCGACAGCTCAGGGAAGCGACTGTGGGTGGGGACCCTGTGGAGTTGCAGACTCCAGAAGACCCTGTGATTATCTGTCAAGAATGGCAGCCAAGACGGGGAGAGATCCCAGGATCTCCTTTCCCCACCCTGGACTCTGATATGCACTTCCTTGGCCTGTGTGCTGAGGGTGGTCTGGGCTGCCCCTTGGGTTCTGGCCAGGGACTTCCCTGCACACAGCTTCTCCTCTGTGGTTACCACCTTGCTGTGAGCCATAGTTGCCCACATGATGACCAGGGCTGAACTCCTATAGTGCAGCAGCAGCCCCTGGGTGGATGTCCTGTGCACAGATGGTGACCACAAAATAAGGTTCCTGGGTGCAGTTGGAAGACAAGCCAGGAGCCCAGCAGGGAAGCAGCAGAGAACAGGGAATGGGGCCAAGACAGCATGCATCAAGCACATGGCCAGCATGAGCCTGTGCTCTGTCCATTCCAGGGCTGCTCACATGCCCTGCCTGCCTGCACATTTGCCTTTCAATCCAGGTGCCATGACCATGCCTGTTTCCAACAGGGAAACGGAGGAGAGCTGTGCCAGCCAGTTCACTCCAGGAAGTATCTGAGGGGTGGTGCAGAAGGACCAGCCCAGCTGTTGGGCTTCATGGGCTGGGACTGAGACAAGAGCTGGAAGACTCTGAGGCATCAGGGGTCTCAGCTGCCAGCTGCCAGCTGCCTGCCTCTGCCTCTGGTGACAGTGCCTCCGGTGGCCAGAAGCCCCCCAAGCCTTCTGCCCGCCAAGCCTTTCTGCCTGCCACCTTTGCCCAGGTGCCTGGTCTCATGGCCTGTAGCAACAGGAGATAGAGACCCCAGTCCTGGAGCCAGGCAGGGCTTGGCCATCGGGAGCTTGCTATGGGCTTTGCCCACTGTTGGTATCTCCTCTAGACCTGGCCAACATTCTCTGCACAGCGATGGCCACTCATCACTTCCAACGTCCACAAAGGAGAAATCTCAGAGACCCAAGGGAGGGAACAGTATCTTGAAGGGGTCCCGTGGGGTGGGGGACAGGCTGCTGTGGAATCCTGCAGGAGGAGGGACAAGTGGCCATGGGCCCTTGTCTGGCCCCACCCATCTCTCCTTTGAGGAGGTCACAGCCCCTTGGCCTCCTGCAGGCAGGCAGTACAGCTGTCACCCACCTCCTGGGCCCTTGGGAGCCCTCTAAGTGTGGTGATACATTTTCCTTGAATTCTTTGGGGACTGCAGGATGACAGCTTCATGATATGGTCCTACCTTTCCCCTGGGCTGCCTCAGTGGACAATCCACCTCTGGCTTGCACCCCACTCCTGCCCTAGCCCCAAGCATGGCCTCTGTCCTTAGGGTTTGAAAGCCCCCAGTGGTTGGAGACAAAATTCTGGCCTTAGCTTCTGATTCCTAGGTCATGCCGTCTGCCTAGGAGCCCACAGGCCAACCCTCTGGCCCTGCTCTGCTCCTCCCAGTGTGGCCGTAGCTCCCAGCCACTCTGTGACTGCTCCACCTTCCTCCTGCAGCCCAGTGGGCACCACACCCCCCAGTCTCCACCTTACAGTGTGGCCACCGTCCCTTCTGCTGATCCCCGCCTTGGCTCCCTGGCTGGCATCAGGGCTGGCGGCACTAGTCACCACTTCCTCCTCCTGGCCATCGTGCCTGCTGCCTGTCCTCACTGTGTCTCTGCCTCCATGAGGAGTGCTCCCCAAGAACCCTGGGCACAGCCACACACCCGCTTCACACTCAAGACCCATCCCAAGGTTCTGGCCACTGTCCTCGGCCCAGTATATCTGTAACTTCAGGACACAGCCCCTGAAGGATGTGTTAGGAGGGTGGCAGTGTGTGTGCTGTATGTCGTGGTGTCGTGAGTGCCTGTGTGCAGTGCGTGTGCAGGTAGGGGGACATGCACTTGGCAACACGGAAGCAGTAGGCCTAGTGAATCCCCAATCCATCATCCTCTTGGCTCAGATCTGCTTGCAGCTCTGCCCCGGCCAGGTTCCAGGCTCATGTGGCTTCCTGGCAATTTCCACGTGTGGCTGTTGCTGGAACTTTGCTATGATGCACAACGTGCGAATGCCGTGAGCGGGTAGACGCAGGGCTTCTGCTTTGAACTCAGCACCATGTTCCAGAGCCCAAACGTGGAGCTACTAGGAGCCCACCTTTCAGGCCAGCTGTTGGTTTTCTGGCTCAGAAGGCTGAACAGTGGTGGTGTGAGAGGAAGTAAGGAGGAAGGCATACACAGATTCTGTACTAATTTTTTATAACCCTAAAAGTTTTTAAAGTGAAAGATTTTACAAAATAAGCAGATGTGGCTGAGAGGCCCCCAAGCCTAGCAAGTTTGCTCAGCACTAACTCCCTTTGAGAGTCCTCAAGTCCTCGTCAGAGTCACCAGGATGAAGTCACTTTCTCAGCTTCAGAGAAAGCTCAGTGACAGTGAGGGCCTGGGCACAAGTGAATCCCCAAGGGCAGTGCAGGAGCCCCACAGCCCACTGGGCCAACTGTTGTGGCTGAGGAGGAGCCACAGTGGCTAGGTGCAGCCCCCCAGAAGGGCATCTGAGGGCCATGAGCTCTGTACCTTCAGTAGTTGCAGGGCAGGCCACTGACCTGCTGCCCTCACTTGAAGACCAGGAAGTGCCCAACTGTCAGAGCTCTGGTCCCTTCTAAGAAGCCACAGAGACGCGTAAGCCTCAAGCTTTGGAAAAGCAAGTCATGCCAGCTCTTCAGTGCCTCTGGAAGCCAGCAGGTCCAGGCTAGGGCAAGTGTTGAGGTCTGTACTGGCTGGACCCTGGGGCTTCTGCAGGGACACATGAGTGGCATTGTCACCAGCGACAATCAGACAAATGTGCCATACCTCACCTTCATGGCTTACCCACCTTGATGGCATCCACAGCTAGACTTTCTGGAGCTGTGTCCACCCTCATGTGAGAACGTCCCCAGAGCCAGCCCCTGTCCCTGGAGTTTGCTGAGATGGGCCCCTCTCAAAGTCAACCTCAAGAATTCTAGAGCTCTGCCTCGGGGACAGGTTCCAGAGATCCCGGGAAGATGGAGAAGAGAGAACCTGACCATCAAGGAAGGAGGAAGGGGCATGACGAGGTGCTGGCAGCACAGTACTGACATGCAGCTGAAACCTGTGGGACTAGAGGACCCCAGTCCGAGACCGACACACTGCAGGTCACCCAAGGTATCCAACTTTACCTCGGGGACCTCAGCCTGAGTTACCAGGGCCCCATGTGAACACAGTAGTCCTCAAATGTCCTGAGGAAGGCCAGGTCCAGTGTGGAGTGCGGGGCAAGAACCTGAAAGGAGCTGAGCCAAGGACTGTG